TTATTTTGATGTGAAATATGTCAAAATCCTGAGATTTTAGGTATATGCTTCTTTAATAAAACTCATCTTTAATCCCGAAATTAATTAATATATAGGGTGTTCCATTAGAAAATACACAACTTTGATGTGTAACTTTTTTTGGGGACACCCTATATAATTCTATATATTTTTATAAAATGCTTTTAGTTAACCTGCATAGCCAAAATTTCATTTCGATAAAAACTACCGTTCCCCTTGGAGCTTCCGTGGCGCGGCGTATGAGAGGCGCCACCCTGTATATTATGTCACTTTTCAAACATGTCCTTCAAATCCTTCAATTAAATAGCTGTTAGTAACAAGTTTCACTTCAAATATGAGAACATAGTGCACACACTTATTTTTAATGGTGTTTACTGCCACTTTTTAAGAAGGTTGTAATTATTTTATATTGAGAACAATTTTTTTTAAATGGTGTACCTAGTTTAAAATTCCAGAAAACATTTTTTTTTGGAAATATATTTGTGTGTCTGAAAACGTTCTATCCTTAACCTTTCTACAATTAGTGTTAATTTTTGATAAGTGTTATGTCAAATTTTAGTAGATTGTCCCAGCCAAATTTATAATCGATCGTCATTCCCCAGCTGTCTTTGATGCCATTTTTTTTCGATCATACCGTATTTAAAACGTTGTTTTTTCAATTGCAATTATTCCTTGTTATCAAAAATAAAATAAATTTCTACAAAACATAAATTTTGCAATTCAGGATAATACTCAATAACAAATCAATTATTAAATTGTTGCAAATAAATGTTAAATATAATTTAATAACAAAATCTTTAGGACTCAAAGACTGACTTTGATACAAAATAACAAATATTTTAGATACAAAGTTCTGTAATTGAAAGTACTACAATTATTGTGAAATGAATATAAATTAACCTTTAATAACTGTATTGTATTTGTATTGGTATTGCAATTATTAATAACTGTATGTGTATGCCACCGATTTTTCTGAAATAGAATTATTTATTTTTAAATTCTAATAAAATCGAAATTTTATGATTACAAAAACCGAGTTCAAAACAAAAGAATATAGTAAGCGAAAATTGTTAAATATTTATTTCTAAAATTTTTGAGGATAGCATAGAAGAATGTTTTAATGTCAAAACATAGTCAAAAATATGTATTTATATATTATAAACGTGAAAGTTTGTTTGTATATATGGATGTATGAATCTTTGTCTTTCACGCAAAAACTAGCGAATGAATTTTGAGGATACTTTACAATAATTTAGCTTATACATCGGAATAACACATAGGCTATAATTTATAAAGATATTTATAAAAGTTAGTAGTTTTCTTACATACAGTTTTTACATGTAATAAATAAAAGTCCAAATTAGTATTTTACTAGTTAGTTTACTGTAATAAAACTGTTGTAATGTTGAACTGAAAACAGAAAATCACAAGATATTAAACCATTGCTATATTTAACTGTTTTAAACAAATTACATCGGAAATCTATAAATGTCTTTTGAACTTGGTAGAAAAACATAATTTTGATTTATAAGTAGCGAATGGTATATGGGAATCTAGTTATATTTATACCTGATCGAAACACACCTATGGACGTGAATTATGACTGTTTGCAAGTACATTTATAAGTATTTTTTGGCAAAATCAAGATAGTTTGTTATGAACATATTAATCTTCTGACGTATTAGGTGCTATTGTATTGTAGGAGGATGTTTGGCGATGCCCAATTGGCAAATGAGGATAAACAAATTTACTTTTATTGGTTTGTTTGTAATTTACCTCACTATTTCATTTATACCTAAGTTATAACATAGCATTTTGTGAATTTCAAATTTGAAAAAGAAGTCTGCTGTATAATAGTATACCGTGCTGGCAACTGTTATTTTTGGGTCGGCATTTGGCATTTACATGTGTGGAAGTAAATCGCATAGGGATCTTATTAAATCGGAGTGCGGCGTTGCCGATACGCCTTTCCCTATCAAGTAATGTAAAATCACGATCGCAAACCGCCTATTTTTAAAAGACTTTATTTTCAAGAGATTACTAGATAAAATCATTAGACATGCTTCTGAGCATCTGAAATGGAATTATAAGGATATCGTTAAGGTGTCATTTTTTTATAACGAGAAAACGTCAGTAATCGCGATAATTTAAAAACTTAACTTTTTAACACATAACAGGCCATAACTCAAGAACCACTTTAAATATTGAAACGTTTTTTATTTTCAAAATCGGATATTTTACAATATGTTTACATAAGAAAAATTCGATAAGGTTGTTTTTTCCATTCAAAAATTGTAAACAATCCATCCATTTACTTTTAGATCATAGCAATTTTTAGCAATCGTGTAATTTTTTTATTGATAAAGATTTTTACATACTGTCTACAAAGAAAATACAGCAGAAATATTAACAAAGTTCTTGAAAAAAACTACAATCTATTATTTCTAACAGATTTCGAGATATCGATTTTTGAATTCAGAGTTCTAATAGCGCGACCACTATCGAACACCAACTCAATTCCACTTATTTTTACCAAAAATGCAAGTGTTTCTAGCTTGCACTTAAAAAAATTCAACCTATAGGGAAAATTATAACGACTCGTTAATAAATAAACAAATTAAGTATCACGAGACGTAATTAAATCGTGAAGCTGAACGCATGACGTACACCTTTCCCTAGAACTTTAAGTACTGACAGAGATTGGGTCGACCGGTCAACTGCGACAAATCTGCTATATCCCCTTCCACGTCTCTTAGAGATGTGCACAGTTTTCAGGTTTATTTCATACGTTTAGCAACGTGTTTACTGTCCTCTCTTTGTTCAGTACATTATAAATGCATTGTTCTCTTCTTACATACGGAAATCTGGACCCAAGACTAACCTTTGCCAGCCCTTAGTATATTGTTTTATTCCATTATAGGCGAAGCACAAAAAGTCATTTTTACTCCTACTGTTTTTTTTTGCCCAACAATTAAAAAACCCTTTTTTTAAACAATTTCAAACGTTGCAAATAATAGTGTAACGTTTTTAGTTCGTTACATGTCTTTTTTACATATAATATATGATGTCTGGCCTATCGTCACCGGATTCCCTCTCGTTCAGGCCTGATCATTTTGTTGGTACGCTTGGCGTAATTTTTACGTTCCCTAGTCGCCAACCCTGCTATCGTTTTCACTATTCTGTGGAGGGCGCGCTGTCAACATCGCTTCTGTCAACTCTCTGTGATTTAACGGCACTTTTGGTTTGACCGTTTGGCCTGTCAGACGCCATTAGTCCTAGTTTTTAGAAATGGTGATTATTTAAATCTTGCTGTATAATCTGAATCAGCTGCTATTTCGAGGCTACAGGGTAGAGTTACGGATGTCCCAACTTGTATTTGTATTTTGCTGGCACGTTGGCGTCCCTTTTATTTTGTCCTCCAGAATGTCACATGGAAGAAAGGACAGGTTGTTTATTATTTATTGAGCCCTCGGAAGTATTTTGAGGGTCCAAGGTACGGGTAGTGTCTTATGTACGGACATTATCTTATGTACGGATGTCCTGTGGACGAGTGTCCCCAGTAAGAATGATTTTTTCTTACATATAAGTGCCACAGCGTGGATGTAGCTTGAGTCCCATGCTGCTTCGTTCCCAGCTATAAGCTAGTTAGTTACGGCTGTATCAATTCATGGTGTCCTCATTCTGGCCCCTTTGGTTGTGTTGGATGGCTGAGTACAGAGATGCGAGACCACCTCACGCTGTTACTGTTTAAAGCAAGATTACATAAAGAACAGCTAAGTGTAGATTTAAGTTCTAGTTTTACATTTAACATTTAAAACATTTACAGTCTTAAACAATAACGTACATCTTAAATAATATCGTACAGACTATGTTTAGTGGTTAGATTGTTAAGAACATTCATGTCGATTTAATATTTAATATAATAATTAATACTAAATATAATTTAGATCTTAGGTTTCATTGCATTACATCTTGTAATGGTATTACTTTTATAGATATTATTATCGCACTATTTTAACAGATGAATAACCAAACATAGATTCTAGAATCTACAGGTTGCAACATCTTCGATTTAGCATCATATGGAATATATCAAATTAATTAAAGTAATGCTACATTTCATATATTCTCTTAAACTTTACATGTCTTGTATTTTATCGTAGTTGTTTTCATTGATATTTAGTACGACTCTTACCACCACTTTCTTTGACATAAACCACTATATATTTATTAGAACTCTACAATGTCATGTACCATCTAAGAACATCATGAATAAATATAGTCATTAGTTTTAAGTAATATACAACTGTGTTTTCTTTCTCTGTACATGCCTGGCGCCCAATATTTATAATTTCGAATTATTATTGTTAATTAGTTTCTTTCCAGTGAAATACCTTATCCACGACTGCTCTACCAACGAAAAGCTGCCGCTCGCAGTGATAATGTTTTAAAAAAACGCTTCAATATAAAAAGATTTAAAAGTAATCCCTTGTAAGTAATTATCAAAGGTAATTATATATCGAGAAACTATAGTTACACTCGTTGAATTTGACACTCTGTGTCAGTTTAATAGTATAGTTTTTTAAACGTGACAAAAGTATTAATTTTTGCGACGTGATTGACAATATAAAACATCATTTTAATGCCTAGGCGTAAAAGTAAAGCACTTTTACGCCTAAGCACAAAAGTACGAAGATATATTAATAAATTGACATAAAGTGTTAAATTCAACGAGCGTAACCATAGTTTCTCGATATATTATTACTTACAAGGTATTACTTATCTTTTTAGATTATTTGGAAGGATTAAAACTGTTTAAAAAATTATTTGTGACGTTTGAAAAAAAATAGAATGTTCTATTCGGAGTAAAATTGACTAGGCGTTAAAATTACTTTTTTATATTGCCACATATATTATCACGTCGCAAGAATTAATACTTTTGTAATCTTTGAAAAAAAATAATTTCATGTATTTCTTTACAGATTATGGGCTAGCAGAGACGATGCGTGTATCTACATGCTCTTCGAATACGTCTGTGGAGGTGAACTTTTCTCCTACCTCAGAAACGCTGGCAGATTTACCACAAGCACTGGAAACTTCTACAGTGCTGAGATAGTGTCAGCCCTGGAATACCTCCATGCCAAAAACATCGTTTACAGAGACCTGAAGCCTGAAAACCTCCTATTGGATAAGGAGGGCCATTTGAAGATCACCGATTTCGGATTTGCCAAAAAACTGACTGATAGAACGTGGACGCTGTGTGGTACTCCGGAGTATTTAGCACCGGAAATCATTCAGAGCAAAGGCCACAATAAAGCTGTTGATTGGTGGGCTTTAGGTAAGGTTTTTTAATCATATGCTTCATTGAAAATTTTCATGATTGGTTGATTATACGAAAACGAAAAGATGCAGAAACAAAATATTTTATGGGGATATGTGGGAAGGTAATGTGCATAATTTAAAATTATTTTGAAATATACAGGGTGTGTCAGAACTAAGATCTATACCAAAGTTATATTTTTTCTTATGGAACACCCGGTATTTTATTTCATTTTTGGATTCTCGGATATAAAATCAGGCATTTATTATAAGGGTTTAATGTGCTTAAAAGCTTTGGGTTTTGAGATATTTAAAGATATTTAAATATGCATGCCATAACAAAAAGTTTGTCAACACTTTGTACATTACTTTTCAGAATTAATTAATACGACGTTGTCCGATGCGTAACTTCCACCCTGTGCGATTTTCCCATTGATCTTCGGTCAGATTTTTCTCGTTCATCGACCTTCTTATTCCTTCCATCCATGTTTTCTTGGGATGTCCTCTCTTTCGTTTACCAGGTGGTATCCAATGAATGACTTGTTTTGAAATTCTTTCATTGTGCATTTTCTGAACGTGGCCGTACCATATTAATTGTTTTTGTTCTATATCATTTACTATTGTTCCCTCTATTCCCATCTGTTGTCTAATGACTTCATTTCTGATCTTATCCCTCCGTGAAATTCTCATTGCTCTTCTAATCGCGTCCATTTCTGTTGTCTCTAATTTCCTTTTATTTCTTTCAGTGAGTCGCCATGTTTCACATCCATAGCGTAATATGCTTTTAACTAGTGTCTCGTATATATTATATTTCCTGTTTTTTGTAATTTCAGTGCTCCATAGAATGCCATTTATGCATCTGATAACTCTTCGTGCCTGTATTACTCTGTTGTTTATTTCTCTATCGTCCGTTCCATCTTCTGTAAATATCGATTCCAGGTACCTGTAATCTCCACATGCCCTAATTTCCATATTATTATCTAAAATAAGATTTTCTGTATTAGCTCCAATTGGAAGGTATTTTGTTTTTTCTGTATTTACTGTGAGACCCCATTTAGCATATTCTTCAATTATTTTCCGCACCATATATTCCATGTCATCTTTGTCGTTTGCAATTATGGCCTGGTCGTCTGCAAATTGCAAGGTGTATAGGCATATGTCATTTAGTTCTGTACCCATTCCGTTACATTTTCTTTTCCATAGATGTAAGGCCTTGGCAATATAAATTTTAAATAGTGTTGGGGATATACAGCAACCCTGTCGGAGCCCTTTATTGATAGAAATTTCCTCTGAGAGACCGTTGACCGTTTTTATTTGTGATTTTCCTCCATTGTAAAGATTTTGTACAGCTTTTATCAGAGCTGCGTTAATTCTTGATTCGTGCAATACTTCCCATAATTTTATTATTGGCACTGTATCATATGCTTTTTGTAGATGAATGTTATATGAACTTCCTGGTTCATTGCAGATTTCTTCTCGATAATCTGTTTCAATGCAAAGATATTATCTGTACATGATCTTCTGCTTCTGAAACCATTCTGCTCTTCTTCGTAGCTGGAGTATTCCTCTTCAATTAAGTTCCTCAGTATCCTTCCATAGAGGCGACTCATAGTGCTGGTGACCGAAATTCCCCTGTAGTTATTGGGATCCTCCCTTGAGCCCTTTTTATATATAGAGGAGATATATGCTTTTTTCCACTGTTCAGGTACTGGATGACCATTTAAGCACTGGTTAACTATGTTTGTTAACATTCTAAACAGTTTTTCGCTTCCAGATTTTATGAGTTCCGCATATACTCCCTCTGGGCCACATGCTCTTCCATTCTTTAAAGACATTATAGCGGTCTTTATTTTGTTGGTATTCACGTAGATTTCCTCTCCTTCAATGTTTGTTTCTGGCTGTGGCAGTTCTTGATACTCAGGTCTGTTCTCTGACAACAATTTGGAATAATATTTCACCCATTCTTTGTTGGTTATTATTTCTATAGGGGCTGACTCCTGTTTTTCAGTTGTTGTTGTTTTTATAAATCTCCATACTTCCGTATTCCTTCTTCCGCCTATATACGTATTAATTTCTTTGCATTTGTCATCCCACACTTTATTCTTTTCTTCTTTTACCATTCTCCTCACCTCATTTTTCTTGTCATTATAAGTGCGCTTGTCTAGTTCAGATTTCGAATTTAGCCATTTCAAATACAGTATCTTTTTTTCCTCTACAAGTTTTTCAAGTTCATCAGTCCACCACAACTTTCTGCTCTTTCGTCTCGCTTTTATTCCTAATGCTTCCTCTGCGGCTCCATAAATACTGTCAATTATATTATTGTATGTTAGGTGAAAAGGCCTTTCCGAATCTTCTATAAGTTTTTCATCAAGCCTGTTCTTATAAAGATATTTGACGCTGTCATGCATTAGACTTTCTAAATTATATCTTACTGTAGTAACTGGCTTCGTTCTTCCTGTTTCCCCTTGATTGTTTTGTTTAATTTGATATGATCGAAAGAGAATTTTTGATCTTAAAAGGTAATGATCTGAGTGGTGTCCGGTGCCCCTTAGGATTCTTACATATAGGCCATGGAAATAAACTTTACTAAAAAACTGTATTGCTTCCTAAAATGTATACAGGGTATCAAAAATTGCTGGTCTATTTTAAGTATTTATTTTACATAAAAACTTCGATATTTCAAATGCAACACTATGTATTTTTTTAGTTAGGTCGAAGCAGATTTAAATGCCCTTTCAAACTATATTAGGGTTTCCTATACCTATCTGGCTCAGATTTTGAATAAAAAGCGATTTTTCAATAAAATTGTAATCAAGATGGCTGGTGTCGCCATGTCGATTTTCTAGTGACACTTCGTAGCTATTTTCAAAATCGACATTAGTTTATGGACTTTATTTAAATTTATATAACAGGTTACTTTTATTTAATTTACCTACAAGAAAGTTAATAAGTAAGTATTTATAATTTTATCAAGAAAAATGAAGCAGTGTCTGCTGGCGAAAGGAATGGATATGTTACTAGTGATTTCATTTTGTGAGAACACAAAAACATTTTGTGAGGACACATATTTTATGTGGCCTGAAGGGTTTATGCTCAAAGACAATGCGATACTCATCAATTCTCATGTAAACAAACTCAAGCTTTGGGGATATAGCGTTCTTCTATAGCGTCGCAGGTCTTCTAATGAGGCGGTGGAGTGCTATACACTTTACTTTTTATGTGTCCCCATAGAAAAAAGTCTAAAGGAGTCAAGTCGGGTGACCGGGGAGGCCACTCGATTGCACCCCTTCGTCTTATCCACCGAACGGGAAAGTTATTGTTTAAATAATTTCGCACATTTTGAGAGTAATGTGGAGGTGCACCGTCTTGTTGAAATATTAGTTCTGCTTCAACGTATCCAGGATTGTTCTCTATGATGTCAGTTAGGGCTGGGTCGATGGTATTTTCCAGTAAATCCCAGTACATATCACCTGTCAGATTTCCAGGAAGAAATAAAGGACTCACAATAGAATTTCTAAAAATACCAGCCCACACTTATCATCAATTTCTGAGGGTTTTGTGTGTGCACCTCGTGAAAAACCCTGGGGTTGTCCTCAGCCCAGTACCGACAGTTGTGCCGATTAACTACACCGTTCAAAAAGAAAGTACACTCTACCTAACCTGATCGTTCGGCAAGTGAAAAAATGCGTAAACATCTAGAAATAATAAGAAAAAACAGCAAATTGGTCGAAGGAATTTATCCTTATCATTTACTCTGATAAATGTTTAAATAAACTGTTCAAATTTCAATCCTTCATATTTTCTCAATGACTCGACCGATTTTCAAAAACGAAGCGGGAAAATATAGAGAATAGACAGCCCTTTTCATTGCGGTACCACTTGACCCCCCGTCCCATTTGAAAAAAATTGGGGGATGACACCCCCGCTTAGAGGGTTGAAGATTTTGCAATCATTTTTGGGGCAGAAGTTGTCCCCCTCACAAACAAAATTGAGGTGTTTTTGAATTTTCTGAAAAAAAAATTACCCTGCCCATTATGCCTTGCGGAACGTTTTCGGCCCAAACCAAACCCTGTATAAAATTATCATGGTTTAATAAACCCGCAAGTAGCACTAAACCAATTTTAAAAGCATTTTAACAGTAAATTTTATTTCCTTGCAAACACATACGGCTATTTAAATGCACGTGCTTTGTAAAAATATCTGTGCAGTTAAACAAGTTATAAAACTGAAAATAACTAAATTATGTCATAAATGCTGTTTATAGCTAACACAATACGTATTTCAATACATTGCTCTGTTCCTATTTGATTGATTGTTTTATGTCTGTTGTTATTCTTTTATTAATACAGTTTGCGAAATTTTGTGGTATACTACCCAAATAGCAAAAAGAAGTTCTAAAAGGATTGAATTATTTTACAACAGTCGAATAGCGTTGTCTTAAGGACTGCTTGATTTTATTAAGCGGTAGGTTTCCACCATTCTGTTTTTTAATAAAAGTTGTCATATTAAACAATTTCCTAGTGGTTTTTAGAACTTGTCCTAAAACGCATTAAACGATAATTTCTTTTAGTATGATATAACACTTAATAAGACAATGCTATATGATAACAAACATATTATTTTATTAGACTCTTATACCCACCATGTAAGAGTTCTATTATATTCATATAACAAGTAGTCACAAGATCATATAATAGTTACTTAAACTTGTCTTATTAAAGTTGTATTACGTTGTATGATAGAATGTTTTATTGCGTTAAACTACGGTGCTGTATACAACACTAGTTATATAGCCTTATATGATAAAATTGTGATTAACAAAATGAATTCGCTGTAATATCTGCATTATAAAACTGGTAATGTATAATATAACCTCATTTTAAATTAAATGGTATACACGTATGGTATATACGTACGTATATACGTACGAGTATAATCAATCACAGCTATTATGAATTCTGGACAAAGTTGGAAAAAAGTTAACAAACGCAGTAGTAGTTATAAAGAGCATGTAAGAAC